GAAAGAAAGAAAGAAAGAAAGAAAGAAAGAAAGAAAGAAAGAAAGAAAGAAAGAAAGAAAGAAAGAAAGAAAGGGAAAAAAAGAAAGAAGAAAAAAGGAAGGAGGCGTGGTTACTCCTAAGTTTGGAGGTTTATTATAGGTATGTGGGAGTACGTAAGAGAAAGCGGTGTGTAGAAGAGTCCACAGTTATCAGGACCAGACTGAGCTAGACCACGTGAGGAGAGAGGGGAGCAAGAGCAAGAGAAGAGCCACAGACCAAGAGAGGCAGCTTGGGCCAAGGGAGCAGGAGACCAACAGATTGGTGTAGCAAAAATTCTTCAGTTATATAGGTGCCAGTGGAGCTGGGGGAGGGAAGCCCAGCCCAGTATCTGGGCTGGAGAGCTCAGGGTAAGGAGGCAGGGTGTGTCGGGTACTGCTGGTGCTGAGAGAGTGGATGCCAGTGTCCACTTTGATATGTTTTTTTTTATTTTTTATTTTTATTTTTGTTTTTTTCGAGACAGGGTTTCTCTGTGTAGCTTTGCGCCTTTCCTGGGACTCACTTGGTAGCCCAGGCTGGCCTCGAACTCAGAGATACGCCTGGCTCTGCCTTCCGAGTGCTGGGATTAAAGGCGTGTGCCACCACCACCTGGCTGTAAAGAAAATTTTTATTAATTTGTTTATTTATTAATCAGTTTTAAAGTGTAAAATTATCAAGTAATTTACCTCAGACAAAATCCTCAAATGACTGTCCTACATGTCCTGATGTTCTAGGTGTAATTAACTAAGTTAGGTGAATGACTGGTTCATTTGATGATTTTTGTATGTAGTATCATTGCTTGACCAGTTGGTGTCACAGGTGTGGCACCAAAACAGGTCTGGTGTGAGCTGATTCAGGCTTCCTGAATGGCTCCTATGAATTATGCACTCACCCAGGCAACCCCCACCTGGTACCTGTGAGTACTAGGCAGAGATGCCAGGATTACAACAGATGAGGCAATACACCAAGCAAACAATTAGAAGCGCTGCCTGGAACACCTGAAGATTCTCTCTCTCTCTCTCTCTCTCTCTCTTTTCATTTTTCTTTAAGAAATTTTCTATTCACTCTACATACCACCCACAGATCTTCCTTCCTCCCTCCTCCCATCCCCCAGCCCTGTCTCCCAAGCCACCCTACAGCCCCACATCTTCCAAATCAAGGTCTCCCATAGGGAGTCAGCAGAGCCTGGCACATTGAGCCTAGGCAGGTCCAAATTCCTTCCTACTGCATCAAGTCTACACAAGGCATCACACCACAGACACCAGATTCCCAAATGCCTGCCCATGCACCAGGGACAGATCCTGATCCCCCTGCCTGGATGCCCCCCAGACAGTTCGAGCCAAACAACCATCCTCCGTATCCAGAGGGCCTAGTCCATCCCATGGTGGCTCTACAGCCACTACTCTACAGTTCAT